AGACGCAGTGCTAATCTATTTATTACTAACACTATTGTTATGTATATATCTTCAGTATACTTTTTTCAATCGACCTTCGTCTTCCGTGTCTATCTTTCTGAACCCTAAACAGGCCACAACAGTATAAAACCTATTTTTACACTTTCATAGTGCTTTGACCTAGTTTGGGGGTCAACTATTTGCCCATAGCTGGGACGCTAACAGCTACTACCACACAAGGTCAAAGTGGACCAGGGAACATCAGCAATTAAGAGGTGGTTACACGCTCATCAAAACTTCCTGAGCAGTGGACTTGCTACTGGATGTAGTTTATCGTTTTACCCAGGACACTTTAATGCCAATAAGATGTTTATTGCTGGTAATATTTTTCCCAAAAAATATATTGCTGTCAGTAATTTTTTTTCTTCAAAAGTGTATTGCTGGTAGTAATTTTTTCTTCAAAAATACATTGCTGGTAATAATTTTTCCAAATACATATTGCAAGTATTAAAACCTATTTTTACACTTTCATAGTGTTTTGATCCCAGTTTGGGTGTTAACTATTTGTCCATAGCTGGGACGCTAGCAGGTTCTACCAACCAGGTCAAGGTGGATTTGGGAACACCAGCAATTAAGAGATGATTTCCCGCTCCTCAGGACTTGCTGTTGGGTGTAGTCTATTGTCTTACCCTGGACGCGAATGTAATTTATCGTCTTACCTCGTACGAAAATCTTATATGGGAAAACGAAAAACAACGTTGCGCGTAAAATAAAGAATTGACCTCAGGGTATTTTTTTATTTAATATAAAATTGTTTTTACTCATCTCGAATTTATCAAGGCAGTAAAAGTACCCATCAAAATGTAATTTAACCATCACTGCTTTTGAATATTTAATATACAGGTGGGCAGAGGAATTTTCTTTCCATGTGAAAGTGGGCGATGACTCATGAGTATTTGGGAAACGCTGCTATAAGACAAAAACTGCTTCAGTTCTTTTTGTATAAAACTTGCACGAGTTTTACGTCGGTTGTCAATCAGAGTGTTTAATGCAATGTACAATATTTCTATTGTGTCTCCAAATATTTGCATACTTCTAAAATCAGCTAAAGACGACAGAACAAGGGTCTCTTGAGAATCGAAGTAAATCGTCTTGCCGGGGGATAATCTCCTATCATTTCCATTTCGTATGATGGATTTGTCGCGGAAGGGTTTGTTTCATGGGAAGGTGGGGTGAGACACACAAGATTTACTGGGTGTGGTTGACTGGCATTAGTTGAAGTGAAAATCAGATTTCATTTCTAAACCCATTTTCTTTTCTTTCGACCTCTTCTTCACTGAACAATGTCTCCCTGTGATTTCTCTTTTCTTTTTCTGTAACAAAACTTTCTTCATTATCACCATTTTCTTTTTTCTTCGCGTAACAGTTATCATTATTACTCTTGTTTCCATTACTACCTTGTCGTTTTATTAGGGACCTAAGGTTAGAAATGGTATCATGAAACTTTCCACTGACAAAAAAAAAATTACATAGATAAAGCACTTCGTAAAGTGTGGGCTGTACTTGTCAGAACAATTTTTTGTAACTCCTTGAGGCATGGACGTCCAAGAATCCCTTTAATTAGTCTACTGCAATCTTTTCTAACCAGTCCAAGGGCTCCAAATACAACAGGGATTGTTGATGTTCCCATATGCCACATTTTCGAGATTTCAATTTCAAAGTCCTTGTATTTTGACAACTTTTTGAATATCTTTAAAGATACATTGTAGTCAGCAGCGACTGCCATATCAATAAGGAGGCATCGTTTTTGTTTGTGGTCTTTTTTAACAATGTCTGGGCGGTTGGTTTTGATTGTTCTGTCAGTGTGTATTGTCTAGTCCCATAGAATTGTAACAGGTCCTATCTTCGTAACCGGGCCTGGGTGGTGTTCATACCAGTTTCTTTCGGTTTCCTTCCCGTAGAAGTTGCAGATTTTCCAGTGCAGATATTGGCCCACTCTGTCATGCCGGGTTTTATATTCAGTGGGTGCCAATATCGTGCAACCTGATACAAGATGATCAATCGTTTGTTGGATATTTATCACAAAATCTGCATTTGGGCTGACACAATATTTTTAGTATATGTGCTTGATAATTCCTAGTTAGCAAGCATTGGTCCTGCGCAGCAAGGATTATTATTATTTTATTCTTTTTAATTAAGTTAACCCCAAACAAGGCAGGAATACACCTGAGACGCAAGAAGTTACTGGGTGTGGAATATTTAGAAAGAGGAACATCGCCAAGGAGCGAGAACAGAGGAAGTGTAATCAGGAGAACAGTAGATAGAGACTGACATTGCATTTACATTTTAGCAGATTAAAGTTGGCTGAAAAGCATCTAACCATAATATGGGACTTTCATTTATATAATTTTCTATGAAATATAAACGACGTTTAACGTCAGTTAAGATTATTAATGATAATTTTTATCTATTGCTGATCAGTATACATCATACTGAGATCATCTGCAAGTGTCTTGACGAGCTGAATCTCTTCTTTCTTTAATCATTTCACCCCATGCAAGGCAGTAAAGTCACTGAGACACAAGGAATTACTGAGTGTGAAAGAATAAGAAAAAAGAGAAACATTATTAAGAAGCGAGAACAATAGAAGAGTAATCAAGAAGACAGTAGATAACGATTGACATTGCATTTCAATTTGTTTTCTAATCATTTCGCCCCATGCAAGGCAGTAAAGCCACTAAGACACAAAGGGCTTACTGAGTGGGAAAGAATAAGAAAAAAGAGAAACATTATTAAGTTGCGAGAACAGTAGAAGAGTAATCAAGAAGACAGTAGATAACGATTGACATTGCATTCAAATTTGTTTTCTAATCATTTCACCCCACGCAAGGCAGTAAAGTCACTAAGACACAAGAGGTTACTAAGTGTGAAAGAATAAGAAAAAAAGAGAAATATTATTAAGAAGCGAGAACAATAGAAAAATAATCAAGAGACAATAGATGACGATTGACGTTGTATTTAAATTTGTTTTCTAATCATTTCACCCCATGCAAGGCAGTAAAGCCACAAAATCCCTGAGAGTGAAAAAAAAATTAGAAAACATAAATATTATTAAGGAACAACAACAGTAAAAAAAAAACAAAAAAAAACGTAAATTTTGAAAATTTTTTTAAATTTTTGAAGATCAAAGTTGGCTGGAAATCATGTTGCCGCGTCTGACTTCCACCAGCGAGAAGTGCGAGACAAGAAACTGTTAGCATAGAACTTACGGCTACATGTAGCCAGCTCAACTTTAAATTGGTGAGACCTCGTCTCCAGTCTAGTCAGTCAGTTAAATGCCATACGTGATACACAGATCTGGGAGAGAAATGATGGTTTATATATTATTGCCAAGGGTATTCGTGCGTAAGTGAATTCACGAACTCAACTGGAATTCGAACACTGCCCTCCGAATCCTGTGTGGATATCCATTACGCACAACTGCTCGTAAATTCATAAAGTCTAGGTACCTTAGCGAAGAGCGATATTTAATTGCATAAAAATATACAAAATGCGGCACGAGGCCAAGAGGTAAAAGAGGTTGATTTTTTCAGCCATAATTAAACTTATCTAGCCACAATCACTGACACCAAAATATCACAATATTCCTTACACGAAAACAACGCATTGTTGCTTACTATTCTTACTACATCCACTTAATACCTCGTTGTCTCTATGAACATCAAAACTAGTCCCCACATGTACAATTCATTGTCTGTGGCGGGAAGGCAATATAACAACAATTTAAAAAACTAAACTCCAATATGTATTTACAAATATGAACAAAAGCTATCTACAAGGAATTGAATAAAATAATGTTAGTCGTAAAATCCCCCACAATCATTATTTGTCGCAAAAACATCTGTTAATTTGACGAAATCAATGCGGAACATTAATAATAAACAACACCCATTCGTTGAAACATTTACTCAAACACAACTCATTCAAACACAACAACAAATACGAAACTCACACCGAAAAAAGAAAGGTGTCCTGCATCTACCAGACAATTGACATCTCTGACCATCTAACGAGAGACAGGAGGAGGAATTAGACTAAACAAAGTGGGGACAGAAATAAAAGGGGCCGATGAAAATACCAGAGTAAAGTGTGATATTTATTCTATGTACAGAAATGTGGCATAAGGCCAACAAAGGGGGATGGGGAAAAGGACGGTCTTCTTCTGTCTTAACGTTAAACTTAGCTAGCCACAGACACTGACCAAAACATACAACAATATCCCTTACACCAACACAACGCGTTCTTACTTAACATTCTTAATACAGCTACCATAATACCGCATTGTCTCTATGAAAGTCCTAACTAGTCCCCATATGTACAATTCATTTCCTGTGGGGGGGGATATTTTCACAAGAAACAACAAAATAATGTTGGTAATAAACAGTGCCTAAATATGGCAGAAATATCAGTTAACTGGACTAAATCAATGCAGGAATTTAATAATATAAAACATTCATTTATCTAAAGCACTCACTCACCTACACACACATACAGACACAATAATAAATTAAAAAATCACACCGGAAACAAAATGTATCCACGAGAGAACTGACATCTCTGACCACCTAATGAGTTAAGGGGTGGGGATTCATCTGTTATGTGCCATGCGTGGTACACGCTTATGTGATTATGAAACTTTCGATACATGACTGACGAGGCAGATTTTTTTCCCGCAGGTTTCCGTAGATTGCCATTTCCTTCTGAAGTAGAATAGTTGCCATCCAAGTCTATAGAACCCGGTCTCTCTTGCTATTTACCGATAGCTGGGGAGGGGAGAAGAGGATTCATATCTTCCCCAAGGGTATCAGCAGGTAATGTAAAAGATTGGACTGGAATTCGAACTCTCCGATTCCTCAATTCGAGCCGCTATCCATTACTCCACCGTGCCTACTTTTTCCTCTTACTACTACTACTACTACTACTACTACTACTACTACTCTTGCTTACTTTTTTCTTTTCAGATTTGCCTTTCTTTATCTTCTTTACTTCCGTCTCCTTAGCTCCATTTATTTCTTCTTTCTTTCTTTCTTTCTTTCTTCATTCCCTGGATATTCTATCTTTCTTTTTTTTTCTACCGTCCTTTTTTTCTTCTAGACTAGTTGCCATCCAAGGCTATAGAACCAAGTCTGTCATGCTATTTACCCATAGGTGGAGGGCGAAGAAGAATATAAATGACTTTCCTAAGGATATTAACATATAAATGAATGTAATGGATTCAAGTGGAATTCGAACTCGGCTCTCCGATTCCTCAATCCGAGCTGTTATCCATTACTCATGCCATACGAAAGAGCTCATGTGAACAATTACCATGAAGGCATTTATAGAAAAGGCAAAAGGAGGCAACCTTACGGCGCGAGGAACGTGACTGAAGCCGAGACGCCAGATCGGTGCTAATAATATTGCTGATATTTCTTTGGATTTTATCAAGATACATAGCAGGTGTATCGGACCGTGTGTGGCAGCAATATTCTAAGCATGGACGAATGATCAACTTATATATAGAGAGAGAAAAATCCGTCTAGCACGATACAATGAACCAGTTATTTTTAGAAGCAAACCTAGCAATGGATTCAATATAGTCTTTCTAATTCGTGTCAACCGAGAACGTTAGCCCCAAAAAGTACAGCGAGTCACTCTACTGGAGGTCAGCCGTGCTGATGGAAGGCATAGAGAAGTCACTCGGATGATAAATAGAATCTAAGGCACACAATTTAAGTTTTCAATACTCCTGGTACTTTATCTCAGTCTCAACAAGGACCTCAGGCAGACTTACCTCAAAATATGCAGAATGCCTGCAAGAGCCGATTCCAAAGTGGTATAGTACTGTCAGTTGGTCACACACGTCACAATTATTATTATTAGTAGTAGTTGTCTTGAATGGGCTAGCAGGACACTAAGAAAGAACGCTGGTGCTGAAATTTGAACACAAAAAATTGTCTTACAAAACAACACGATGATGATGACAATGCACTAATGTCGAAAGTACTCGAGATAAAATCAGTATGCATCAACGCAGTAATTTTCTCTCTTCCTTTAATAAGGATACGAAGAAGCTTGTTCGTGGATATGAGACGATCCTATTGAAAATAATTATACAAAACTTGTCTAAATTATTTAATGAGACATGTCTTAATGAAAATATGCTGCCAAAATATACGCAATATATATATATATATATATATATATATATATATATATATATATATATCGAGAGAGAGAGAGAGATCTGTTTCAAATAAATAAACAAATAAATGTATGTGCATTAATATTTAGCAAAAAATAAGCTCGTTTCACCTGTATCACTGTCTTTATTTATTAACCATTAAAAAAAACTATTAGGTAAAACCTAGATATATAATTGTTTTGTCTTAAAAAAAACAAGGCACTGATGACGACATTGTTCTAATGTCGAAAGTACTCTGAATAAAATGGATATGCATTAACATGGTAATTTTCTTTCTTCCTTTAATAAGGATACTAAGGAACTTGTCCGTAGTTACGAGATGATCCTACTGAAAATAAATAGACAACACTTATCTAAATGATTTAATTAGACATGTCTTAATAAAACCAAATGTACGCATCATGAGAAAATAATAAGGGCACATGCAAAACACTCAAATGTGTGCGTTAGATTTTACGCGTTGTAAATTGATTCATTGATTGATTCATTTTTACGGGTTTTCAACCCGTTGCAGGTAATTTAAAGCTGAAAATATTTTTAAATTGTGAGAATATTTTTGGAAATAATAATAACTGATAATTTCACGTCTAAATCATTAGTAAATCATCATTTTCTCCAAATTTAACTGAGACGCGAAAATAGTTAAAAAGACTAATAATATATAATATATATTACTAGATCTCTTGACTAAATAGAAACATGAAGAGAAGTTATTTACATTGTTTGGATGTTGTCTTCATCTTCATTGACATTTTCCCGACATTTCGGCCGTTCTAGGCTCCGGCATTCTAAAGGATCAGTCTATATTTTTGAGATATTTATTACACTATTTATTTTGTTCGGACTGTTGACATATTTACAACGGCTTCAAATATGATTAAGTCATATGTTATATATTTATATTTTTATTTATAAAGATCTAAAATAGTATATTCATTAGTATGCTAGATACGGTATTGTTAAAATTAAGATTTCAAAATTTTGGAATTTAATTACGCATCTTTTCGCTTTCTTTTCTGTGATCAAATAACAGATGTATAATTATGAACATTGTTTTTTAAATTATATTTGAAAGTAAACATAATGCATGTGTCTACAAAAACAGCTATTTCTTTTCTTTGATTTAATAAATCTTCATTGTTTAGAAACGTTTTAAATTTTCTAAAGAATAAAGTAAAAGTTTAGTTCCGAAACATTTCTGTGTCGAGATGAATACATATTTTTAAGTAATACTATTATAATCTATCTATCTATATATATATTTAATTTGATATACATATATATTTTATTTAATACATATATATATATATATATATATATATATATATATATATAGTCATCCACAGCTCATCAATGTGGCTAGACGTCCGATTGCCTCTGGCTAGGATCGAAACCCGGCTGAAATGGCGTCAGTCGGAGATTCTACCCCTAAGCAGTTGGAGCACAGCAGGGATGAAGTTCAATTTAAGCGTATTTATTTTTAGATAAGCACATAGTGACTGAGAGATCTCGTTTCGCTTCACCGAAGAAATTTGCATTATTAGCAGTAATAGTCACTTGGTCCCCAGAGAGTTTAACTGAAATAAACTTTTCAGGAGTATATCTATTGCCATCAACAGACAGTCTATTTATATATATATATATATATATATATATATATATATATATATATATATATATATATATATATATATATATATATATATATATATATATATATATATAAATAAATAAAGGAAACGTTATTAAAGTCAATCAGTCATGTCTCATGCGTGATACACGGTTCTTTCTGCGGTAGACCAATTGCCATGCAAGGCTATGGAACCCGGTCTGTTTTGTATTTACCCATAGCTGGAGGAAGAAGAAGAGAATTCATACCTTTCCCAAGGGTATTAGCACGTAAGTGAATGTAATGAATTCGACTAGAAAGTCAGTCAGCCAGTTTCGTGCCATGCGTGAAACACAATTAGGCGATCATATACCTTTCGATACATGACTGACGAGGCAGATTTTTTACCGCAGTAGGTTGCCATTTCTTTCTGCGGTAGACCAGTTGCCATGCAAGAACCCAGTCTATCCTGCTATTTACCCATAGTTGGAGGGAAAAGAAGAGGATTCATACCTTTCCAAAGGGTATTAGCACGTAAGTGAATGTAATGGATTCGACTGGAATTCGAACTCGGCTCTCCTATTTTTTAATCCGAGAATCATTCTCGGATAAGGGGGGAATTTTCTTGGGAATTTTTCAAAGTTCGTTTTGGAAGAAATATGGCCTAATTTTGGATTTTTTTTAAGTTGCCATCAGGATTGGTAGAGACAAAATGATTGGTTTCTTAGTACTGGTGAGTGAACATTGTGGCGTAGACGAGGTCTGAGGCGCATGCGCGTGTGTGTGCCTGTCATTTTTTTTTTATTTTATTTTTATATACATTTGATGATACGGTTTTTCTTTATAGATGTTTATTTTTGTTGTGTGAGTCTTGCTTCTAGGATCATAAGTCTTTCCAATCCAAAATGCATATATCTGTCTTTCATTATTAATCTATTCCGAATTTATACGATTCTCATTCTTCCGTAGATTTACTGTCTCTTGCAAATCCATTCTTTAAGAACGAAAACTTTGAATTAAAGTTCGCCTTCACTTCTCGGCATCGAATACCTAAAAGTTCATAACTTTTGGAAAATGATCGATTTTCTTTCCCTTCGTGCTCTTCTAAGCCCCAAATCAAAATAATTTCATAAATCTTTCTTTCTCTCTCTCTCTCTTTCTCTCTCTCTCACTCCCTCTACCTCTCTACTTTTCTTTCTCCCCACCTCTTTCGTGACAAATGCAGACAAGATTAATATATAAAAAATATGGAATATTCTGTTACGTGTGAATAATATGACTATAGTATTATAATAAATAAAAAAAAAGACATGCAGAGGAGATCCTACGTTAAAACCCCGATATATTTTACGAATGATAAGACCGCACGAAACTAACTTGCAGGATTAATAAAATTACAGACGCCATCTTTCCTTCTTCAAATGATGGTTGTTTTATTTTTTAAGTCTGGGTTACTAGTAAGAAATTGCAATTATTCTTGTCTTCTATGAAAGCGAACTATCACTTTTTTTAGAATTTAATACATGTACTCATTCTGTGCTTTATTTTTCAGTAACATTTCCAATATTACAGAAAATATACAATGTTTTATAGAATAATTCACAGGGACCCATTTCTAAACGAACTAGTTTTTAAAATGTGGTTACTGAAGGAATTTATCACTTTGCCTAAAGGTTATGTATTGAGTCAGATTTTATTTACGTGTTTTTAAAAAAACATTGAAACGAGAAAGTTATTAAAGTCCCCACTTTTTAAAGCTAAAAATCCGGGTCATTTTGTTGTCTAAAAAATATATTCTATGAAAATATAAATTTTTAAAACCTCAAATCGGTATTAACTGAGATTTGTAAAGAATTCAGACTATATCTGAATTTATAAGATGCTATATGAATTTCAGTTTATAGTATCCATTTTTATCAGAACTATTTACAATAACATATTTGGTGATTTCAAAAGCGTAGCTGAAATGCCGGAGAAGGAAAAAAAGTATGAAACATACAGTGAGGATCGAACTCACAATAGTTGATTTAACAAAACAAACTTACCGGCATATCAACACCTTTATGGGTTATTTAATGCCGAAATCTAAATATTTTGAACGTAATTTCATGACTTCTGCTACAAGTAAAAAAAATATTATTGGTCATTATGCTATAAAAATATATTGGTAGCAATTTATATATATATATATATATATATATATATATGTGTGTGTGTGTGTGTGTGTGTGTGTGTGTGTGTGTGTAAATATATATACATATATATATATGTGTATGTTTGTGT